TCTTTCTTTCTTTCTTTCTTTCTTTCTTTCTTTCTTTCTTTCTTTCTTTCTTTCTCTTTTTTCTTAACCCAGACCAAATTTCCAAAGAAAGCAATGAACACTTCCTATTTCTGAGGAGGCTAAGGCCTTCAGAGACATTTCGAACTTTAATCTTCATCTTATTTTCTACATATCATCTCTTATTAACAAAAACTTTTGCAAGCTTTCACAGCTGAACAAGAGATAGCTATCTACCTCATTTATTCAGGAGGTGACAAGGAAAAGCCCACCTATGGTTAGGTTACTTGGAGCCTAGCTCAGTTTGGATTCAATCAAGGTTAATCCATTTACTTCTTTTTCAAACAAATTTATTCTATGTTGGGAAGAAAAAAAATTAGATAATGGACAAAAGAAGAGAATATGTTCAGTAAAGCTGGGGCAATTCTGAAGCAAAATTATTACTGAATGATGCTGCTTCTTCATTGACCTGTCAAGCCCAATGTAGAAGGAGACAGACCGCACCGATATTACAAAATTAACCCAAGAGTAACTGGCTTTTTCCTTTTTTGTGTGTGTGCATACAAGCAAGTAAGTCAATCTCCTGCTTAAACTCTTACTGATTTATGAACTTTTATACTGACATTCTTCATGTGCTTAACCTGATAATGATATGTCTACATCTTTAATTACTATAATCATATAGCATATCTTAAAGGTAATATGAAGAGCAGTGGATACAAAGGAAAGTAGAAACCTAGAAAAATATTTGAAAAGACCAAGGTCATATATTAACATGTAATTAAAGGCTTCTCTGATTTATCGAAGGTGTCAATTTAGAATAATATTCCCGAACTATTAGCATTCAACACAGTATAACTTAATCATAATTTTCCCTGTCATTTATCTTCACCAATCTCTAAGTCTCAGAAAATATGTAATTTGGTTGATACTTCAGTCGTATAAGTCTCTCTTTTAATATCAAATGTCCTGCTGGTTTCTGAACATTTTTTTTCAATAGTTCAGATTCGCAAGACTGAAAATATTATTTGAACTGGCCCTAAGAATAACCAAAAAACAATTTCCAATATAGGAGAAAGCCAATTTAAAAGAAAGGAATTTGAGACGTGGTTCCATAGTGTAGCGGTTAGCTCGTCTGCTTTACACACAGAAAGTCCTGGGTTTGAGCCCCAGTGGAGTCACGGTCCATGGTCTATGGCCGTGCCACACTGAACAAGCCTGATGTCTGATTTCAGAAGCTTTAAGATCCATTTGTAATTTAAAGAACACTACAGAAGGAAAAGTTATCATTATCTGTCATCAAATGTTTATAGACTGTTTGAACTTGAAACTTTGAAGAGGTTACGTGAGAAATATGACATCCCCACTGACTTTAAAGAGTTTATAGTTGACTTGAGGGAAACAAAAGCAAAATTAAATAATAATTAAACTCTGTTTCATGAGATAGTTATTACAAGTACATTCATGTCTGAAAATCCAAGGTAGAAGAAATACATTTCAATTGGCTTTGTCAGAATAAACCTTTCCAGAGAGGATGGTACTTTGCACTGGTCTTAAAGAGAGGAATTTAAAAAGCAGGTGACAATTTCAGGCTGGTTGACCTGGAAATCTTTTGGATATTTGACATCATTGTGACCACAAAGGCCAGGAGTGGATAGACTAAGGATTTCAATAGCTTAAAATATGGTTGTTGGGCAATACAAGTAAAGCGGTTAACCAGATGTGAAGAGCCATGGGATGTTTGCCAGTGACTATGAAGAAAGTGGTTTGCAATCTGGAAACCATTAAAAATTTCTTGTGGCAGATTCTCTAGTGCTTGACTTCCAATCCTGGATTTTCTGCTTTTTAACTCTTTCTCTGGCCTTACTTTTCCTAGCTGAGGATAAGAGAACTTTTCTTACTTGCCTCAAAGAATCAGTATGAGGATCAAAAGAAAATGAGCATGAAAGTGTCGTGGAAGCTGCAAACCATTAAGAATGTTTTAATTTATGTTACATTCCTCTGTAGTATTATGACTAAAATTTGATGGCTTTTGACAAAGAGTAAACCTTTCCGCCTATCTAGACATCAATGTCATTTATTGACTGTTTTATCATAGCTTGCAACAAAAATAACACCTTTTTTACTATCTGGACACAGTGCAGGTAAGGCAACTGGCTTCCCTTTAAATTGGTGATAAAGAATAATTACTTTTAAAGAGCTCTGCCTCCTATGGTACTTGGTGCTGTCATTCTCAACTGCAGGGAGTCTTGGACCATCCACAATCTTATTTGTCTTTGCACAAGGCCCATATCACAGATACCTAGACAAGAGCCAGACATGGGCCATGAGCCAGAATGATTTCAATGAACCCAGTTTAAGTTACACACTGCTTCCTGATCATGTTGGGAAACCCAACAGCCCACTTCTAGTGGCGACTTTCTCTTATCTGCTTGCTAGCTGGAAAAATATTTTATTTATTTATTTTCTGTAAATAAGGCATGGTAAGTTAATTTAGAGTACAAATGAGGTGAAGCATGGACATCTACAAGGGAGACAAGAGGACTGGAAATCGCATTTCATGATCGTTCTCTGATCTTAACATTTAGTGCCCAAATTAATTCATATTTTCACTTATATTTAGAATACTTTATTTGGAACTCACCTACACACACACACACACACACACACACACACACACACACACACACACTGAATCACCTATGTCATTAAATTTTTTTCTCACAAAGCCATTTTATACTGTGGTTTGTTCCCATACTTAAATTGAATTTAATTGTCTAAGATTCTTAGTCACATTTTTGAAGTTTTGTCTTATGCACATTAGTGAGGTTTATCTTTTGTCTTTGGATACAGTCTAATCTCTAAAAAGTCAATATAATAAGCCTGAAGGTTGTTTGTCCAGATTACCACTCCCCAGAAGGATGAAGGATTACACGAGCTGAGTCAGGTATGATGCTGATGGTATCAGGAAACTGTACAGAAGAGAGAACTTGCCATTTGGCTTCCCATAAGGTGAGGCCAAACCTCCCAGCTTTCCTTGACTAGAAAATTTCTTGTTTCCTTCCAGACTAAATGTTCTAAAGGTCCATGACATCTCCTCCTTGCTCACCAATGGAGGTGATGTCCTGGCAAAGGAGAAGAGTAGAGGAGTTAGTAAAATTCCCCAGAGTCACAGGGGACAAGGAAATGAATTTCGTTCCATGACTGATTTCCAGTTGCCATCATGTTTACTGATATAGCCTTTGCTAACCTACTGTTAGGACAAAGGTTTTGAGAACAATCCAGAAGAGTATCTAGTTAGCCTTTCATAAAAGAAAGCCAATGTACCGTTCCAATATAATATAGGCACACCATGAATTTAAGAATGTGAAAGACCTGACCACTAGAATCTCAATGTTCTAACTACTTCCACAGATCATGGAGAGAGAAGGGAGAGGGAGAAGAAGCTAGAAGCTATTCCATCCCTCAAATTGAGGGGGAAGCTTTGGACTAACTTCAGTCCACAGCAGGCCTGCTGAAATGGACTTGGTCACACCATTAATCATGAAATGGGATAGTTCCAGAAGTTTGTGTGAGCCATCCTTCCTTCCCATGAAATTGTTTGAATGAAGCCAGAGTGGTGCTGTCTTGCTGCTGAATTGATTCAAATTTCTAGACAAAACTTCCGGATGAGCCCCTCGGATCCATAAACCTCCTACAGCTTCTCCAAATTGGGTCAATGACATGTCCGCCTGAGGAGCCCTACCTAAAGCAGGCTGGGGCTCTCGCATTGCTTTAATCTGCGCTCATCCTGCCCTTAACTAAGATCGTACATACCTTTTCCAAGTCAATAGTGTACTGAACTGTGGAAAGCAAGGTATTGTCTTCCAGGGAGATTTGCTGGGTGATTTTTGAAGATGTTTATTAAACCACCTTGACACGCATGTGCTTGCTAAACTACAAGTTAGGATTTCCAGTAAGCACACTTGATTTGGGAGCCTGTTCTTGCCACTGACTTCAAATGGGAGTACAGACATTTTCATCATATCATCTTGGCTTCAAAAGCTGGCTGAAGTCCAAAGAATAATAACCAAATTTGAGGAACCTAGAATGACCTGTCTGCAAGGAAGAGACGTAGGGCTTTCAGTTTAGTGCAGTTCCAATCACGGCTTACATTTCCTGAATAATAAGAATAAGAATAAAATTTAAGGTTAAGGATGTTCATAAGTTTATCTGAAGTCAAATCTCCCTCTACTTTGGTTCCAGTCTTCCTCTTTACATGGGGATGAGGAGCACCTCCCAGAAGGCTCTGTCCCCCAGGAGAAGCTGGCCTTCCTTAGCCCTGGTTAGCCCAGAAGATGAAATCTCTGTAGGATTGCCCCTCACCTCCAGCAGGAGCAGCAGCTAGATATCGCGTCTTCTGCAAATCTGGTGTGGGAAAGCTCCTCCTAGCCAACCTCCTCCCCAACTTCCACCGCCCTCCCATCCTCCATACCCCCACCCCCAGTTCAAGGAATTTCCCAAGCATCCCAAAGCTTGAGTTTCCTGCCTGAGAGAAGGGGCAAGTATAGGTATAAAAGCTGAGGAGGGCTTGGGGAAAGCACAGTGCTGCAGAGCTTCAAATCCCCACGCCGTTTCTTTCTTCCTGAACCAGCGCCCTCTTCGCCGCTATGAGTCTCCTGCCCAGTCGCGCTGCCCGCTCGCTGTGCGCGCTGCTCGCACTGCTGCTACTGACGCCGCCGGGGCCGCTCGCCAGCGGTGAGAGCTCACAGCCCGCGGGACGCACGGGGCAGAGCAGCACGCCCCAGCCTCTGCAGCGACCGCCGCGTCCCGGGCTCGGGGAAGTGTCCCGGGCCAGGCTCGCTGGAAAACAGTTCCCCCAGCGACGTGCCCTATAACGGTGTCTCTCTTTCTGTCACAGCTGGTCCTTCTGCGGTCGTGGTGAGAGAGCTGCGTTGCGTGTGTTTAACCATAAAACCCACGATCAATCCCAAAATGATCAGTAATCTGCAGGTGATCGCTGCAGGTCCGCAGTGTCCCAAAGTGGAACTAATGTAAGTCCTCGTGCGCTGTGGTATACTGTGACATTGGCGAGAGGGAAGTCCCCCCAGCCTGGGTCTTCAGCCCCTGCCGCTCATGGGCTCATCCTTTTTTTTTCTTTCTGCAGAGCCACCTTGAAGAACGGGAAGGACGTCTGTCTGGACCCAGAAGTTCCTTTGATTAAGAAAATCATCCAGAAACTTTTGGACAGGTACCCATCACTTTGATCGTGGTTTTATAATCTCTCGGAGTGTAGCCTTCTGAAGGTCCTTATTCTCTGCATCGGATTTGGCTACTACATCCCCAGCCCATTCTTAAAATAAAAAGGGTGTTCAGGAGGAAAGGAGAAAGTTGTTCTGGAACGTCCTGGGAAAACTCTTGTCACCAATCTTACACGTAATTGCCTAAGAGGTTACACGGAACTCATGACTAAGATGCATTTTTTGTTAGTATTTAGTCCTTGAGTCAACCCTTTGCTTTTTATTGATCCTAAGATTCATGTTTTGAAAACAGATTGGCGTAGGCAGAAATTTGGATATCTGATATAATTCTTTTCTCAACAGAGGAAACAAGAAAAATTAAGAGAAAGGGCCATGCGTTGGAAAAACTGCTCACTTCTTCAGCAGAAGTTTCCCAGAGATCTCTGGACCCAAAGAAGATAAAAAGGAAGGGCTGATTTTCTCCAGTGAGTTAGGTTTCTTCATGAATTCCCCGCTTTGAGAGAAGGATAGGAGGAGGGACTATATTGGTCCCTGAAGCTTTCTGGTCAGCTTATGAAGAATTTTACATAGTATTTCCTGCTATTTAATTGCTGTTATTTTATCTGCTATGCTATTAAAATCTTTGACAATTGACTAAATAGTGAGCCAAGAATCACTGCTTGTTAATTTTTCAAGGTAGCTAGTGTATTTCTAAGATATATTCCCTAGAGTGTTACTGAAAAAGCTGTGCATTTAATATATGAATGTTATTTCGTTAGAATGTTATCTAAGACGTTAAACTGTTACCCTTACTTTTCTCATGAAATCAGAATTATTTTAGTATTGTTTCTTGGGGAATACATTGGAGAATTTCCTTACTCTTTACCCTGGGATTGTGTTTAAGTTATATTGCGTTAGAAAGCTGGGTGCATCATACATTTACCTGTATAGAATATATTTCCTTATTTAGAATTTCTAAATGTTTAAGTTCTATAAGGAGCAATATATTCTTTTCCTATAACTTTAGACATTTGATGTCTTCTTAGTATGGCATAATGTCATGACTTACTCATTAAACTTTGATTTTATATTGTATTTATTAACTATTTTATTAGGAGTACTGTAATTTTAATCACTAAATATATGTTTTCGCTAGATGAAGCAGCTAAAAAAGAAGTAAATTCCTTATGGCTAGTTTTTATAGAAATGCATTCCTTTAGCTTTTTTTTTTTAAAGAATAAAGCAACCTAACAATGATTTGTACTCAAAATTTTGAAAATATATTTGAGTTATTTGAATATAAACACATCATTTAGTTTACAAAAAAGTAAACAGCAATGCTAAGATATGTAGATGCTTATACTGGATCTTTTTAAGGTTCTGACCATTTTGTTATAAAGAATTATGTATGCATCACATTTATTTTGTTATAATTTCATGTTTTAATTGTGTGTCTCATTGGTTTATAGCACTTCTTTTATTCTTTGGAAAAAATAAAATATTTATAAAATTTAGTCATGTTGTTTTTTCCTTCTTACACTGATACAAAATTATATTTTTCTTTCATCCTACCTCATTTTGAAAATTAGCTGTGCTTTTTTCTGGTTAGTGGAGAGGACTCTCATTTCCCAATGACATTGCATTAGTTCAGCTTTTTTCCAAGCTCAGGCTCCTTCCAGTTTCTCCTTCATAGCACCAAGAGCCTCTGGGTTCTTTATAAAACACAAATAAGTAAGACTTTCTCACCTTAAATCCTTAACTGGCTCCCTATGTCCTAGATCTGAAATAAAAGTGAGAGAGCACCAAAAATTAGGTTCAGTCTCATTTGACTCTTTCTTCCTTCGACTTCGCTTTTCTACCCCATCTTTGCAATCAAATGTTTAGTTCCTTCCTGGGTCCATGCTTTTGCATTTGCTAGGGTTTCTACCTGGAAGGGGCTTTCCTCTTCTACCTCTAGGAAGAAGCTTATTCATCTTTCTGAACTCAGCTCAAACATTACTTCCTTCACAAAGTTTCCTTGACACTCCCAGCAGAATTCATGTTTTCCATTTTGATGTTCCCATAGCATCTTCTAGATACTTGAATTTATTTGAATGGCAAATATGGCATTGCTTTTATTTGTTTAGAGGTTTCCTTACCTTACTCTGCTAAGAGCTCTCCCAGAGCATCAATCATATTTCCTCTCCCTCTGCACCACCCCCCCATTAATGACATAGATTAACTTAAGAAATTAAGTTATCTTGAACCTCAGGGTGTCAGATAGTGTCTTATAATCAATAACTTGCCTCATGGTAGGTGTCAAATAAGTTGTAATTCCTTTACCCTCTTTTCTCCTTGTCTATGAGTAATCCAAGAAGAGCTTTGGTATATGCAGTCCCCTCAACCTGTAACACCTACCCCTAATTTTCACATGGCTAACTCCCATCCTTCCTTTGGGTCGGTTTACCTGTCTCTTAGGGCCTCTGTGACCCTTTCCCCCACCCCTTTTATATTCTTTCATAGAACTTAGTTTTTTTCCTTGATAACATTTTGTCATTGACATGACTATAGAGTCTATAGAGACTACGACATGTGGTCATATATTTAGTGTCTGTTCCAATCTCACTGAAAGCTTCATCAGAGCAAGGATAATGTTCATCATGTTCATCTCAGTTCTTAGGACAGTGCCTAGCACAGAGCAGGTGCTTAAACAGATGAACGATCTAGGTTAAACAAGTCCCACTGTCTCTCTAGTATTAGAATAGTAATTTCATGTAAATAGTTTATTCTTAGGAAAAGCAAGAAAATGAAAGGAGACTAATCCAATTAATCTACATATGCACACACTCCAATTGGATTACTATATTATATATGCTCATATTGGCATGTATTGTATATACTAGTATATGCTAATGTATCATTAGCATATCTACGTCTAACTTGCTATTCTACATCTTTTCATCTCTTTCCTTACATATGAATACCAATTAGGTTAATATATTTTCTATTATATATTAGTATATCTATATAACAGAGAGGTGGAGAGAGAGAGATAAAGAGAGTAAGATACAAAAATAGGGAAAAACCAAGAATAGATTGAAAGAGATGGGTTTGCTGACAATTTTATCAGCAGTATAGAAAAGCATAAAATACATCAAATTTAAAATATATATATCAACTTCTGAGGTCTCTTTTTGCTTCTTCAAATAGTAATTTTCTTTTTCTTACATGTTTTATATGAAATATATATTTTGTGAAAAAATAAACATTATTGGTTTATTTTTTATTATTATTTGAGAATTTTATTTTTCTCAAAAGCAATATTTATAAAGTTTAGTTTGTTCATAAACCTTAGAATAAGACCTATTTGTATTATCCTTGCAATTTTATATGTCATGCTCATGCTATAATTGGCCATTCTATAAAGAAAATAGATTACAGAGTATTATCAAAGCATAATCTATACAAAATCCTCAATGACAGCTAGTATTTACCAATCCTTGACCCCAGCACTAGCAAACTCAAAGACTAACATATCTGGGCAAAATTAACTTAATGTATGTCATCTAGGGGTATGTCTTATATTTTCCTCACACAAACTCCTAAATACTATTTCCACTCTTCTGTCCACTTAAAACTTTCTCATATATGAAATCCTTGAGAAATGAATGAAGTGTCAGCTAAAATCTACTCTATGTTACTGTCCCATCCAGACAATTTTCAAAGTGTAATTAATACCTTTCATTTAACTAGACTTTCCTGTTTGCCTCTGGGTGTGACATATTCACATAATCCTTCTAATTCCTGAAGGTATGACGAGATCTATGATAAAATATGACTAGTGGCCTTGTTTTTCTATCATAGTTTTAATTCTTGCACTAGGAAAATAATTGCTGTTGGTAACTCATATTGTACATAACTTCAAAAATCTTTCCTGGACATTACAAATTGAGAAATTTACTAGACAAAGGAGCACTTGGGGATTTTGATTTACCTCCCTAACTAAGTCCTGGAAGATGAGGAAAGTGCACATGATTCTGATTTTGGCTGACAGTCATAGGCTTTTAGTCAGCAAAATTAATATTACATAGTAATAACATAGAAAGACCTAGAGTTTAGGTGTAAATGTTTGTTTCTTAAAGTGTAGTCTTGTTTCTTAAATATTGAGAAATTGCAGAATTATCCTCAACGCTGAAAAATCCACTTTCTTAATGGATGTGTTTCCACTGCCACACGAGCATGGAATGATTGTTTCTGACCCACCTCTAGGACTGGACAAAAAGAAAAATAGTTGATTCATTTCCAGCAAGAGAGGCCAGTGATGCTCTTTTATAGTTTGTGATGCAATACAAAGTCAAAGCAATTGTGTTTCAAATCTGGTTTTGGGTATTTTTATCTATGAGACCTTGGCAATTTATTTAACATCTCCATCCCTCGGTTTTTTCATCTGTAAAATCAGTACAATAATATGTCTAGGGTACTTAGAGTTATCCTAGAACAAAGTAGATGTTTGATAAATATTTGCTTTTTCATCAAGGCTCCTAATTCAAACTCGCCTTTATAAATGAGAAGACTGAGAGCTCAATAATTTAAGTATAGTTTTTTTTCAGATTTATCCATATTTTTTCTACCTTTGCATGAATGATTCATTTTTAGTGCTTATAAGAATTTTTTTTCACCTGTCTTTTTCAGAAAATTTTTGGAAACAATATATTCATATTTTCTTTATATTTTTTGTCAATTATGTGGTAATAGTATCAAAATGTATGATGTAGTTCCTTTTTATAAATATTTATCCATCACAATACCAATATATTTGATATCATTTATTGATAATACTGTTACATACTGGACCCTGTGAAGAATACTTATGATATAGAGACTACAAAGATGAGAAACTTTTAGCCTAAGTTAAAGTCTTTTGATAGCAAATATACTCAGTTTTTTTTCTGACAAACTTTTCTGGAAAACTGGATGAAAAGGGAGTAGAGTTTTTAAAAGAGGGAGAAAGAGAGGGAGTGTCTTAGGTGGGGGTCCCTAGAATTAAACTCTGAGTTTGTGTTTAAGCGGTTTATTGAAGAGTGACCTAAAATGTAACATCTTTCAGGAAGTAAGGAAGTAGCATTAGGCAGAGGAAGAGTTAGTGTTAGGACAAAAGATTTAGATGCTCTTACAAGTAGCTCTGGAACTGGGATGGCTTTTCAGTTATTCTGAACTGTGTTAAGGGAGGCAGATCTCTGTACCCTCCTATTGACTTCAGGACAGTGACATAGCTTTAGGTAAGACAGTTTCCTTAGGCCATGAGCTATGCCTCAGTTATGAGCTATCTGTGGCCATCACTTCCAGCAGCTGAAGAAAGTCATGGTGCTGAAAGGGCATCTAGATGACGTATCATGGTTTCAGGAATAGGGGAGAGGAGGAAAGAGGAAGAGACGAAAGGGGGAGGAGGTAAAAGAGGAACAAAGGGAAGAGGACAGGCAGGAAGAGAGGGGGTGAAGTGAGGGGAAGGGAGAAGAATGGAAGGCTCCTTTTTCTTCTTTTTTTTCCTTTCTTCCTTCTTCTTCCCTACTCTCCCCTCTCCTCCTCCCTCCTTTCCTCCTCTCTTCCTTCCATTCATTCTTCATTTATTTCTGAGAAATAAAATGATACTACTTGAAAAAGGGAAAGAAGCAGAGGAACCAAAGTATCCCAGCAAAAATTTAGCCAGCAACAAGCATCAACCACCTCCCATGTGAATGAGGTCATTTTGGATTCTTCAGCCATTCCAGTGGCCTTTTGACTATACCCTCTACATGAGCTCAGGCAGGATAATAGCAGAAGAACTTCTCATTAGCATGTGGGATATCACAAATAATAAACTGTTGTAAGCCACTAAGTTTGGTGTTGGCTTGTTACAAAGCAAAAAAAAAAAAAAAAGAGGATCCTTATGCATTCGATGTTCAACAAATGATATTAACATAAAATGAAATAAAAAATTTCTCAAGCCTGCAGAATAGTGCAGTGATCCTATTTAATAGCACCCAGGAAAATATTTCCTCCCCAACTCCTTTACCTTCCCCACTCTCCCCAACACCTCCACCCCATGCTTCACCTCAGTACAACATACAGTAATTAAGGCCTGGATCATTCTTGTCAATTCAGAGTTATACAGAAGACCACTTGATTTCAACACTTATAAGGAACTTTTTGTTGGTTTATATTTCAATCTATTGATTAAAGAGCTTTAACAAACTGACTCACATTTTTTCCCCGCCCTGGGATCTTCTTTATCAGTTACTTTTATGACTAATTCCCAAACGATAGCTTATTTCCTTCACACTTGGGAGTTCAAAATATTCTATGTCTAGCAGACAATATATGTCTTACTTTTAATGGGAAATGGTCTTCCAATGTCTCTAGATATTTTCTTTTTAAAACAGCTAACAGATAAGTTCTGTTTTAAGTTTTAGAAAACTTACTACTTTCCTGAATGACTCTGCTATTTATACGATGACTTAAAGGGAAAAGAGATAAAGTAACTTGCCACTAAAAAAAAAAAAAAAAAAAAAAAAAAACCAGAAAGAAAACCACCATGGAGACAATGTAATATTCATTAAAAGGCTGTCAAGTTATTTTTAAACCCAAGAAGCTCTGACACTAATTTTCTAGCGTTCACTTAAGTTATAATTTTGTAAAAGCTATTTTTTTATTTAATAACTGATTTTAAAATTTGTTACTAATTTCTGTTCAGTCAGTTTATTGGTGTTTATACCGTACTTCTCTTTATAGAAATCAAAGAAAATTATGCAAATGAGAGTAATAGCATTTAGCAGTATTAGTAGCAATAGTAACAGCAGTAATAGCAGTAAATTAGTACTTATATCCCATTGCTCTGTGCAAATATTTGAGCTTTCTCTTTTTAAAAAGAAGTAATTAAATAACTAAGTCACATAACAAAGAAAATTTTGTAATGCCTGGAACATAGGAAATACTTAATCAAAATTTATTAAATAAATGAAATCACAAAAATTATCTACCTCAAATGCTGACTAATAGGCTTATAAAATTTTAGTGACTCAAGAAATTTCTTAATACTGTCTCATAAACCTTGCTGACAATGTATCTTTTGTGACAAAATACATTTGTTGACTAAGACGTCCTGAGCTACATGCCTGCTTCTTTCCTGGTACCAACTAACCTGATGATCCTGTGCTACATGCTTACCTTTTTCCCAGTACTGACTAGCTCAAATAGTGTCACTAGTTCAGAAGACTTTCCATACAGTTTCCCCAAAAGGATTAGGAATTTTGAGTAATCTTACTAAATGAATCAGGAACCAAAGTTGGATTGTGTTTATGTCCAGTGAAGCCAATAAATATTAAAAACCATATGTGTTGGGAGTTATGATAAACAGAAAAAGAAATATCCTAGGAGTAATGCTAAAAACCTTTATATCTTGCTCTGGAAATGGTTTTGAGCTTATATTTGAATAAAAAAATCTGATTTGCAAATTTACAATATTTCAAATACAATGATGGGAAAAGGCTATAAAGTTATCACTTGGGAAGAACTGGAAAAGAGTTTTCTCTCCTTATTCTGTTTCGTTTTGAGATTCTCCGAAATTCACTCCAGATCTCAACTCTTAGAAGGATACTAATTTTCAACTTAAGCTTTTCCTCAAGCTTGTTTCTTAGCCTATAAATTTTCAGTTTGGGAGAGGTGGAAACTCATTGAAATTTAGTATATTCTACACCTAAACTGTAAGCTATAAAAAGAAAATAAATAGAATGGAGAAAATAAAGAATACATTGTAAAACAGGAACTGAGAACTTGAGTAGATATACTCAGTAACTGACAAACAACAGAAAAAATTGACTTAAAAGTTAAAAGAAAAAGTTTGGAAAAATTTACTGTAATCATTTTTTAATAAAAAGTAATTTTATACACTTAATAGTTTGAGAGTTTCTTCTAGAATTTTAAAGGTATAAAAAATAAGCAAAAAACAGGAAAATGGGAAATTTAAATATTGCATATGATTTGCATATAATTGTAGGTAGAAGACAACATGTAGTCAGGACCTCATCCTTTATGCTCAGCCTTCCAAATAACCTTTTTATACCATAGGTACTTTTAGCCACGTGGAATTTTGTTTGAGAATTGTGGCTGATTAGAAAGGAAAGAGAAACTTTCCCTCATGTAATTCATATTTATTGATTTATTCACTAGCATCGTTTAGGACCCATTATCCTATGTATAGGATACACGAGGCATTAAAAAAACCTCAGACATGCCTCTGCCTTCAAAAGTGTACAGTCCAGTTGAGAAAGCAAGTCTTATAGATGGGACAGTGACCCAGATAATAACACATACAAGCCAGCATGTGTAGTTCCATCTCTGTATCACTGCATGGCTTTGTCTATGTCAAGTGGAGTTTGAGATCAAGACCCTTAATTAGGGTCTGAGAATTACGAAATAAAGATCTTATTACAATTTGTAAAATGCTAAACTGGGAACATCCTCAAAGTCACCAATAAGACAGAGGTTAGACTACAATTGCTCATGCCACAGAATGTCATACGGCTATTAAAAAGAATGGGGTAAAACTACACCGAGGTAGCATGAAAGGATGTTGAGGACATTTTTGAAGGGCAAAAGCTGTATAGTGATCCAATTTATATAAAAAAGATCTATGTCTATCTCTACGCATATATATGTGGAACTCCCTGTATTATGTGTGTGTCTCTATGTATATGTATATATGTGCATATAAATGCAGATGGAATAGAAACTACTGCCAAATTGTTACTGATGGTTACCACCAGAGAACAAGAATGTGGAGTAATAATGAAGAGGAACTTGTGTCTTTTATTCTACATACATTTACAGTGTACGAATCTTTGACAGTAAATTATATCATATATTTTTCTGTTAGATTAAAAATAAAAAAATATTGGGTCTTGCTTTTCAGGGTATTTTTAGATGGTAGAAACAAGTGGTTTATTTTATAATACAAAGGAGGATGAGTTGGCTTCTAGTTTCTGGATAAAATTACAGAAGATAATACATTTGGAAGACAGAACAAAGCCCAAATGAGGCTTTGATGGTAATGGGCTAATATTTTATCCACATACTTCAAATGAATCCCAACATTTGTCAACAACTGGGATAGGAAAGTTTGCTTCCCTGGGTAACTTGAAAGAGTAGAGAACTCTTTTTTCGAAGAGTCACATATTTATTCTATGAGTATCTATTAGTATCTATTAGGCCCATAAATAGCATTATAAGAAAGGCATGGCATTTTATATCATTATACAAAAAAAAAAATGCCATATTTCAGCCTAGCTCTTAAAAATGGAGTGTTAAATATGTGTAAGGCAGATAGGTGTTGAGAAAGAGAGAGTGGGAATGTGAAGTAATATATAAAATAAAATCTAGCAAGAACTTTAACTTGCCTGGCGATTATCTGGGCTGTGTACAACTTGACCACCCTTCTACATAGGTAACCACAAACCCTCATCCCCCACCCCTCCAACCTTTTTTCTCCTTACTGGCCTTGAGGGGGGTGCATATAAAAGACTTCAAGAAAGCATGAAAAGCCACTTAGCTGGAGAATCTTGGCAGTAATTCACCCTCACTCCAAGGTCTCCTGGCTCTGGGAACAACTCCACCTCAGTTCTTGCCACCATAAGCCTCAGGTCCGATGTTACCTCCTCCTGTGCAAGCTCACTTCATGTCTTACAGGTGCTGCTGCTGCTGCTGTCACTACTCCTGGCTATGATGGTGCCCCCCACCATGGGAAAAAGTAAGAGAAACTTAGGGAAAGCTAAAGATGCGGTCCCTGCTTCCCTGTAGCTGTGGCTGATTCTGCTGCAGCTGTGTCTGAGGAAAAGGCAGTCATGGTGCTCCTGGGGCTGGAGAAGGCCATTATATTAATAGTCCTAACTGGAGGGGCTATGCTAGTGGGTGCTTAATGTGTGCCAGGCATTTGGCTGAGATACTTTAATAAAGGTTTCAGACCATATTCACAATGGCCTTGTGAGAGAGCTACAATTCACAAAGAAGGGGACTGAGGAAACAAGTCAATAGATAAGATCTTTAAGATATTCATGACCACTAATCAAGACTGTTTCTATCCTAGCTAAAAGTGTGGACTACGAGTGGTATACTGAACTTCTCTGCACGTGTGTAAAGATCATCTCTGGCATTCATCCCAGTAACATCCAAAATTTGAAGGTGATCAGTCCAGGACATCATTGCCCCAAAGTTGAAGTGATGTAAATCCCTGCTACTGTATTATTAACTCATTAGGGAAGCCCTCTGCCTCTATTCCCACCAACACTATTTTTCCAGTCCCATGGATCCCCATAATCATGCCAAGACACATGGATAATTCTATTCTCTCTTGCAGAGCCAACCTGAAGAATGGGAAGGAACTCTGCTTGGACCCAGATGCTCCCAAAATCAAGAAAATAATCCAGAAAATTATGGAAAGTGATGGGTCTGCTGCTTTACCTATACATTTTCTGCCAAACTTTTTTATCTCCTAAGAAGAGTAAGACTTTGAAGTCTTGACTTTCTGGAGTTTTTATTTATCTAGGATACTCATTCATACTATATTAAACTTTGGGTATGTTTTTTATTCTATCTTAAAAAGTCACATTTCATTCTGAGAAGGCTGGTTAATAGATGACAAAGAGAAGATGAAAGTAGCAAGCCTAATTTTAAAGTGTTATATATAGTTTACACTCTAACTCTAGGCTAAATGTGGTACTGTGCTTTGCATTTCTTTATTTAAAAATTTATTTCCAAATACATTTGTGTTAACTTATCTTGCTTTACTTTGCTGTCAAACTAGATATGTCCATGATGGTAAATAGATTCTATAATGGTCAATGACATTAAGAATCACATAGCCCAGCATGGAGTACTTGCTCAATAAACATTTCTTAACATGTTTAGGGACTTAATAGAGTCTTTCACTGTCTTAGTCCTAACATGTCTTGTTTTGAAGCATTCTCTAAAAGATTTTTCTAATGTTTATTTTGGCCTTCAAACCCTAAAATTAATAAAGTTGTAGAATATGAGTCTTGTAGCAGTGGTTATTTACTTTAAAGTGAATATATTTAATACTAGTAGAGCAAAAATTACTTGATAAAAACATTAATATACTCTATAAAAAACTCCAGTATTTCTAATGATAATAATGACAATGATAATAATAATAATAATAATACAGGTTCTACTTGGCACTAAATGTTTTACCCTGGTATGTTTGTACATATTTGCATTTACTTAATATTTGTATGGTTACAATTCTAGTATTAGAATCAGCCCTGCAAATAAGTACAATAGAGAATTACTTTACCAGACTATTAATTATTATTTTATAATCAACAGAACTGTCATTTATTTCTTAATCCCTTAAATTTATTCCCATACTGTTCTTACAGGAGTATTAATGTAAAATCAAAATTTGTTATGGCTTTTTGTCATATATTATTAATTTTAACAGAATTGTTGGAAGAGAAAGCCTTAATTATCTTTTAATTCTTTTTCACACTTTGGTATTCACAATAGGCCAACAGAAGTCACTAGTTGCTGATCATTTTTAAGATCCTATAATAATAGATAAATTTTATTAATAACTTTTAATATGTCAGGTATTTTAAGTGTTTTGCATACATGAATTAAGCAATTCTTACAAGACAGCTATAATGTGCTTAAGAGCACATCCTCTGGAGAGAGAATAACTAGTTTACTCAAGTCCACCACTTGGTAACTCTGTAACTTTGGGCAGTTTGCATAATCTCTCTGTACTGCAGTTTCTTCATCTCTAAAATGGGATGATAATATTGCTTACCTCATAGAGTTGGTGTGAAAATTAAAAGAGTTAATAAATTCAGAGTGCGGAAAATAACGCATGTCACACAATAATATATATAAATGTTAGTGACTATTTGTTATTATTACGATTAGCACCTCTAATATTACAGAGAAGAAAACTGAAGTTCAGAGAGATTAAGAAATTTGCCCTAAGATTAGATAACTCAATAGGTGACAAGAGCAAAAATTTGAAACTGTGCTCTTAACCACCACACCACACCACACCACACCACACCACACCACACCACACCACACCACACCACATCACACCACTTTCCTTGATTCTTCTTTCACTTATGACCAGATTACACTATGTATCACATAATGTTATTGACACATAAAATGGGACTTGATACATAAATAACATGCTGTATATATTATGATAATTACAGGAGAAGAGATAAGTTCACCTACCTCAACCTGTGCATGGACTTTGGAGAGCATTCATATAGCAAACATTTAGTTTATAAACTTTCCTTATTAAGGTCTCTTCTTATTATCTCCCTACTATTATAGGTTCAATGCCTTAAAATGCTTTGTCTAAAAAATAAAGGCGTATATTAAGTAAGAGTTAACCAAAAATAAACATAAATATACATATAATAAAGTAGTAAATGGGGACTGCAGTCCTAGCCATTAATTTGTCTCCAATAATTCAAAATAGCTCTGCATCTCATTCATTTCTCCAGTGGTTTCCTACTGAAGTTCAACAGGGCCAGCTCCTGAGACATGACACAGTTTTTACACTATACTAATACCTATCGAGATGCAGATGTCTTTTAGTTTTCTGTGCATATGTAGAATTATTCTATTTAGATGCATAGAAAGAATGATTTAATTGTCACTACTCCCTGGATTTCTTTACACTGCAAATATTGAAATCTGGGCGTAAGGTTGTATAAATTCAGTATGTTGTTCATTCATCTCCAAAACTACCCTTCCTATCCATTCCCTCTGCCAGTAATCCAATCTGAGATTTTAACTTTCAATTTCATAAACATAGTCTACACCAGCCATTGTATGAGGTGTTGGATATTAAAGAACATATAAGTCACAGAGAATTGCCCTTGAAGAGATCACTGGTGGGAGAAGCAAACATGTTGACAAACAATCACAATCATGTGTGATACTTATTAATATAGAGGTATGCTCCGATTGCACTAAGAAACAGACACATGAACAAGTCAAATCCTCATCATCATCATTTTCAACACTTACTATCTTTAGGAGTGTAGTAACTTTATATTGAGCCTCTGTAGACCACTGGTGTGCTGGAGTAGTGGTAAACATTATGATAACTCACCTCCTAGAGCTTCTCACTTAGGAAGAGAAATCATTTTAAACATTTTAAAACTCACACAGGTACACACATATTTTATATGCACAGATGTGTGTGTGTGTGTGTGTGTGTGTGTGTGTGGTCTGTGAGAACAAAGAACATAATTAACTTTTCAGCTGTCAGGGAAGGACTTCTGAGGAAGTAATATTTAAATTGATGCCAGAATTATGAATAGAATGTAGCCAGCTGAAAGGGCAGGTGGCAGGAGAATAAGAGAAAGAACATTCTAGGCCCAGGAAGTAAACTGCATATCTCTGCGGAAGTCTGGTCCTGCTGAGCATTAACGGATCAGCTAGTTCCTCGCAGTGGGCTCTGGGTGCCGTCACCACTGTTAATCAGTGTGACAGGGAACTTCTGGCTTTGAGATGAGGGCATACTTTGTCCTGATCAAGAGCCAGAGTCATTCTTTTTCAGGGAAAGAAAGATGGCCCATAATGATCTCTCCCTTTCCTGCACAGGATTCTGTTGCATATCCTCCACATTCTCTTCCACGTCTTTTCCACACAGATCTCAGATGCTCTGAGACCTCTTGAGAGCATCACAACTCCTTTCAACAGTGCGGGCCATCTCACCGTGGTCCTAGCCCAGGTCTCAGCAGGCACTGGGAGATGTGGCCTGGAAATTCTTCTTGGCCTCTCTTCTAGACTGAGCAGAATGAAGAAACATCCAGGCACCAAGTTTTACAGAAAGAGAGCATTCAAATATTACTCTTACAACTTTTTCTCAGAGTAAGAGCATCAATGAGGGTAATAGACCTTGCCTCCTACAGTATATTGGATTATGGTTGGTAGAGCCTATGGATCCCATTCAAGAGACTGAGGAAGCTTTCCATATGCAAGTGACATTCAGAACTGAGTCATTGCCTAGAGAGCAAATTCGACATTTTAGTAGCAGAAAACAATGACAAACTACACACCTTTAACACACACAGCTGCCAAAGTGAACTCAAAGGTAATCAACAAGAAAGGCAAGAGAAAATGAGCAGTTATTAAGGCAGCTGGGGGATGGGGAGGGAACAGATGGGAAGGTACTTGCTGTGTAAAGTGCAACGTGGTGACTACAGAGAACTCTACTATTACACATAACAAAGAACACATATATTTTATAAGGTTTGATCACTATTCATAACTCCACAAGTGTGCATGTATATGAATTCAGTTTGGGGTGTGAGTCCTACTACCAGCTTCCAGCTGAGACAGCTGACCCGGGCTTTTTATATTTATTTAATTTTTTCCTAATCTTGGCTGGCCAGAACCTACCTCCTCTCAGCTTCAGCACCACAGCTCGTCACTCTCTGCCCCAGGCTTCCGGACTGCACCGACAGTGGGGATAAAACGGGCCTGAGAGGCTCAGAATCACTGGTCTGCAGAGCTTCAGCCTCGACCGCCCTTGTGCGCTCATCTCCTGTCGGCATCTCTGTGACATGAGTCTCGGAGTGGGCTCCAGCACCTCCCGCCCATGGCGTGGCCCGGGGCTGCTGCTCCTGGGGCTGCTGCTGCTGCCAGCTGTGGTTGCCCACACCAAGGGTGAGAACAGAGGCAAAGAGGGGAGGGACCTGGGGAGGCCGGGAGAGAGGCCGGGAACCCCCGCGCTGGGGCAGTCTTTAACCGCCTGCGAAACCCGCTACCCCGCTACGCTTTACTGAGCGTACATGGTAAGTGTGCAGGCACTGTGACAAGCGCTGTCCCGTGCGCTTCACCACCTAGGCAACAATACTTCTTTACTGAGTTAGATATGGTTCGTAGACTAGGAAATGAAGGCCACACGTAGTGAGAAATGTCCCTGAGGAACGTTTAAGCATCCTAGGAGTTACCACGCCATTTCCCACTCTCATCTCCTCCTGTCCCTCCCACCTCCAATCCCTAGAAGACCCTGAAGAAGGAGAAGAGGAACTGCAATGCATGTGTGTGAAGACCACCTCCGGAGTCCACCCCAAGCACATCATGAGCCTGGAGGTGATCCGGGCCGGACCCCACTGCCCCACCTCCCAACTGCTGTGAGTCCTCACACTTGCACTTCACCCTCTGCTTCTGCTGCCCTTACCTGTCACCCTTCTACACCCACCTCCACCCACAGCCTAATCCCTTGTTCAAGTCCATCCCTTAAAAGGCGCGCCTCTTCTTCCCCTGGCAGAGCCACGCTGAAGAATGGGAGGAAAATTTGCCTGGACCCACAAACCCCCAGGTATAAGAAAACAATGAAGAAATTCATGGAGAGTAAGCTGCTAACTGCCTAAATCTGCACATTCGCTCTATAAAGTGTTTTGGTTTTGTTTTTGGTTTTCATTTTCAATTAAACTGTGGGAAAATCTGATGTTTTTATTATCCTTCAATTTCTAAATAAAAACAAATCAAGTTACGGTATATTCTAAACATTTCTGAATAGAGCAAAGACATAGTATTGACACATCACAATTTCCAAAAAGAAAAAAAAATCTCCAGAATTTTAAGCAAGAATATATTTTGAAGGAAGATTTGATTTAATAAAGACTGGTTTTGCTTGATGTTATATGTTGGCTGAGAAGTATTTGCAGATTTACATGATTGTATTACTTAATAGCTACTTATTCATATATTAATGTTATAATTAGCTTTGTCAATAAATACTAACAGCACTTAAGCTTTACTGGACTACTTTTTAAAAAATAAATAAATGAAACAGACTTTGCTTTTATCTCCTTAAGATTTGTACTATATCTCAGTATTAGAAAATTAATAAAAATAAAACCAGGATCTCTACTACTTAATGGAATATTGATATTTTCCAGAGAAGAACATTACAATAGTTTACTCTTTCTTGGTTCTTTGATAGTGTTGACTTTTCGCAAAAATGAATGTTAAGTTCTTGTACCCACATTACTGCCTATGATGAATCCTACATAAGGCAAACTATAAAATTGGTTTTTATTACATTCCATTGAAATACCATGAGTGTTGCTCTAAGCACACAAATGTCTTGAATAGATTTTTTTTCCCCCCTCAGTATTCTCAGGTTCAGTGAAACCTTATTTTCAGTTACCACTGATCCACGAATCCCTTCACATTGGAGATATTGAGGTTACATGTGAAACAGCTGTGGAAACCAGGAGAGGTACAGGTTGTATTTTCATTCATGCTTTAGGAAAACACTACTATACTTTGAGGAGAAAGGAAGACATTGCAAGATGGTTGTGTTATGCATTGCTTCTGTAATAAATTACCACAAGCTCAATGACTTAAATAACACGAATTTATTATCTTACAGTTCTGGAAGTCACAAGTCCAAACTGGGTCTTATGCGCTAAGCTCAAAGTGTCCTCAGAGCTCCATTTTTTTCTGAAGGCTCTAGGAGAGAATCCATTTCCTTGTCTGTCTCAGTTTCTAGAGGCCACCTACAGTCCTCAGCTCATGGCCCCTTCCTCTACGTTTAAGCTGTATCACTCCAACCTCTACTTCCGTTGTCACCCCTGAGCCTTCTATGTCTTATAGCCTGCCTGCCTCTTAAAAGGACCCTGATAATTATGTTGGGCCCACGTGGGTAATCCAGGATAATGTTACTATTTCAAGATTACCACATCTTCAAAGACTTTTTTGCCATATAAGGTAACATTTTCACAGGTTCTGAGCATTACAGCATGGAAATCTTGGGAAGAGGGTTGTATTATTCTGCTAACCATAATGAGCAAGAAGGAAAAACCTAGTTGAGGCAGGAGAAAACTGCATACCTTCGCTAACGTCATTTCAATCTAATATGTGGCAATGTTTGTGTAGAAGAAGGAATTGGACTGCTAAGAAAAATATGGAGAGCGGTACAATTCAGTTTCCACGGAGAGGTGGGGGATTGGGAGAGGTTTTGACAAACTAGTTAAATAGATACTATTTAGAGGCTTGTGAAGTACTGTAGTATTATCTAAACTTCCACTCACATTGCCTGTTATGTGATATTGTTTGCATTATAGATTTGAGATAATCTCAGAAAGGTTAAGGACTCTTCCGAGGCCACAGTTTATTGGAGGCTGAGAAGATCAGTCTGACTTCCAAGCCCTTGCTCTTGCTTTCACACTATGCTGTCTTTCACACAGGCCAGTGACATGTTAGCTAATTTTTCATAAGTAACTGTCCCATAAAAGAGCTCTTTGAGAGTGGAGTAGGAATTTGCCATGGGAGCAAAGGGAAGAATGGAGCTGCCAAAAGGTGAACATTACGTAGAAAGACACAAAATCACTGAGTCCTCAACACGTTTATTGTTCTGCAGAGCTGAAATGTCCTGGGGAAGGTGAACGATGGTCTCTCATTTGGTGTTTTTTACCTTCAGTCCACCTTATGCACAGTCACCTGAATAATCTTTCCAAAACACACATACTTCATTGCATAAAACATTCCAGGTCAAAAGTCCTGAGCATAGCACCCAAGCCTGTGTCACACTCACTTCCTCTCTGTGCCTTAGTTTCTTCATCTATGAAATGGAGATATTATGAGAGTCTGCTTCATAAATTACTGTGAGGACTAAATAGAATATGTTTGCAGAACACCCGACATAGTTCCTCATGCAGAGTCTGTGCTTAAAACTTAGCAACTATTAATTATTCATATCGCTCTCAATTTTGCTCTCAATTCACCACCCCACTTAGTTTGAAGGGTTGAGTTAGGCATTTAACAGAGTGATTCTTGGTGCTAAGTAGCAAAAAATGGTTGCAATAACAATAAAATTTTCTCAAAACAAATGAGCTTCGGGAGAGAAAGCATTGAAAATGGGGCGTGGGTGGTACAGAAAAGTTTTGCTCATTTTCCTTTTAGTGTCTCAAACAACACACTTAATTGGAATTAGTAGGCGTGACTAATTAGTAGGTGTGACTCAAAGGGCCAAATGACCAAAGCAAAAATTTTCAAAGTCGACTAATGCTGGCGGTGCCTTGCAAATACTCCCTTCAGAACTACCTTGGCTAAAGAACACTTGCAAGGTGCCACCTTTATCAGCAATGGTATCCAGAGAGGGCCTTCCTGCCTGGAAATACCCAAGCTAGGCAGCTGTTTACTGTAGTTTCCTGCTGTTTTAAACATTTGTGGAGTGATAAAGATTGAATGTACTTAACCCCCTTTTTTTTTTTTTTTGGCTGGCTAGAGACAGCCAGCAGAAAATGTTCACAAACTAGGCACTTACTGCATAGTCATGAACCCTATCAACTACAACAAAACCACCAAAGAATATTTTGCTCTTAGCAGTTGTTCCACATTTTTCTAATTTTTGCTTTTTTCCCTTCTAAGGCCTTTGTGATAAAAATAGTTTCCTTTTCAATGCCTAGAGCACTGAAGTTTTAGTTGGTTTTAAAGTTATATCCACATTTTTTCTCATAAAAGATAATGGATGCGTATTTATTATATATATCACAGAAAATATAGAGGAAATAAGGAGGAAACTTTAAAAACTAGCTTCACTACTCAAAACTGTTCTTTTTCTTTTAAAAAATATTAGTCTTTTGAAATTGTTGAGGAACATGAGAGAATTCCCCCATTGTACCCTTCTTTAGTTCTTATGGTTGAACTAGTTAGAAAATAATAAAATTGACACACGATTAGATTAACAGCAGGAAAAAAAAACAATTTAACGTATGCACATGGGAGTATCACAATATAATGCTCAGATCATAAAATGAGGCTCAAAGAAATGATTGAACTAGACATCTTTTTATTCTTTTTAGACAAGGAAACAATACATTTCTGAGAAATTGACAAGAAAAAGAAAGTGCTCATTAGAAAAGAATCTAAGCAGGTTTAGGTATTCCTTAGTAAGGAATGTAAACAAAGTTTGAGCTTGGGTAGGAAATTAGTAAAGGTGTTTAAAGGTTTGTTTACACATGCTTTTTCAACTCTGGATTTTATAACTCTTGTGATAAGTTTGCCTTTTGGCCCTTTAGGAGCGGGAAGGACACCCATCATGGAGATTTATTTCCTGCTTTTGGGGAGACAGAGGAAAGTCAGCGAGTTCTCTCTACTCTTTCTGCTTCTTAGGTGATTTTAGTTCAAAATAATATGCCATTGCAGGATATTTGGGGCAGCCTGCCCCGGGGCCCAAGAATGTGGTTATCAAGTGAACTGCTAATTTTCAATAAAATACCATTGTATGCAATCATGAAGGAATCGCAGTAATGACTTTATTACATTGACACTTGTTTGGGAGCATTTCATGTCCCAATTTGGGGTAATAGAATAAGGTTTTACTAGGCCGGAGGAAGAATGTGGAACCCATGTGATCTAGCATTCACTTACACATTTACAGGTACTATGTATGTATATAGTCCACTGTATGTTTATTTATGTGTGAATATATATATGCATATATGTATTTATATACACATACCCGTAAAAGAAGTTCACAATCCAATATTTATACTTGCTTTGCACAATGTATTCTGACATTTTTCCATACTATCCTATCCTACTTCATCCACTTTTTAAAAATGTTGTCCACAAGCTCGTAAAGTGATGTCATAACCCACTGATGAATCATAACTTTCGATTTGAAAATATTGCTACAGTTCTTTGACTAAAGAGTCAAGTTTTAACATTCTGTGTTGGAGTCTACACTCTAATTAGTGCTTAGGGAGTCAGGAGAGGCAGTATGTTCAGGATCAGCAGGATAGTTAAGTCTCTTTGCCTATAGTCCACCTTCAATCTAAATCTCCAGGTCCGACCTGGGATTGAAGTCTTTGAGAAACCCATGAGGAGCAGCTTTTGAGGGGAAGATGTAACATGAAGTAGAATGTTATCTAGATTGTTGAAATTCTTCATCCTTTACATCTGGGGGCTCTTACTTATTCTCATTGCCCATTCTGCTTTGATCACGCACATCCCAGTTTGGGTTCTCATGCAAACTGAATTGAGGGTAGAAAATACATTGCTTTCTAGGAAGGCTTAAATAAGGCAAACGCCCTTAGTGAATTTAATTCGTGGTTTTATATTTATTTCTTCTTCCACAGTAGCGCTTTTCCTTATCCCTATAACTGTTGTTGGCTTTAGCCCAGAGAGTTGTTGAATAAGACAGTCTTGGGTTACATCTCAATTTTGACTCTGTGTGACCCTGAGTCTCCTGGGTCTCCTCATCTGATAAACAAGGACAGTTCTGTCCAACTCACAGGGCTCTGGAAAGGAGTAAATCTTACTTATAGTAGTACCCAGCATGGGTCTGACTCAGAATTAAAACCAAATAAATGAAAGTTATTTTTCTTCTTTTCTTTAGAGTTTTATCTCCAGAGCACATATCATTTACGAACAGCAGTGGCCACAATCCTTGATCTAATAAGCAACTCATTAAGAACATGGCCA